TTGTCAAAAATTGAACGCCCTTTAACAAACGCCCCTTGTTCCTGCCCTACCACTGACGGGGGGATCAGGGCTAGTCTAAGGGCTAACGTTTTTGCCAACAATTTATAGGACACATTTAAAACTGATATTGGCCTCCAATTTCTTACTTCTCTTTTGTCTCCTTTTTTGTATAACAGTGAAATTATTCCTTTCACCATTCCTCTGGGTAAGGAGCCTGACATCAATGTCTCGTTAAAGATATTGCAAAAGAAGTTACCAAAGGCAGCCCAGGACGAAAGAAAAAATTCAATGGGAGACCATCTGGGCTCGGGCATTTGCCCTTGGCCATTTGCCTAGCTGCCTTAATAAATTCTTCCACAGTTATCGACTTTTCTAATTCTAAACAAGAAGGACCTGAAATCCTAGTCGTTGAACAGTTCCAAAAGGGAGAGTGTTCCTTTAGATTCGAGTCAAAATTATCATAGGGACGCCGGGTGGAGACTATGTCCTGAAAGTATGTCATGGCGTATGTGCAAAGGGTCTCCGTGTCTTTGGTTATGGGGGCATTTACTGCAAAGGGATGTATCAGCTCCCTCATAACCGGCTTGGCTTTGCGTAGAATGAGCATTCTGAATGTATCTTCGGTCATCTTGTCATGGTCAATGATGCCCTTGATTTTCAACCATTCCTGCCATTCTCTTTGCTTTTGTATTTCCAGCTCCTCTAATTCCTCTAAGGCTTTGACCCTTTTTTAATACCAGTAATATTCTAGAAAAGGATCGGTGTCCATACAAGCATCCGCTTCTTCTATAATACTGGTTAATTGTTTTTCCTTCCAATTCCTAGAGGCAGCTTTCATTCTGGCACAATTCATCATTGTCTCCTGAAGTATCCCTATGCGAACATCTACCCAATCTTCAAAGTTCGAAAATAAATCTTTTGCTTTATCCCAGTCTTTCATTTGGGTTCTCACCCATTGTGGGATCCCCGGGTCCTTTAGGATCTGAGTATTCATCCTGAAGGGCGGGTGATGTTTATCCACCACATCTTTTGAAATAACATCCAAGAGCACTGGGTAGTGGTCCGACACCGAAGAGCTTTTAACTTCTGTCCATATAGTTCTATCCCACGGGGCACCCCGCGCTAGGATCAGATCTAAGCGCCTTTTGGGCTGGGGAGCATACCTTGAGGGCCTAGGGCCCCTCCATGTGTAACCGTTTAAATCCGGATCAATAGTTCTATAGGCATCTACTAAACTGTGGACCTCCATAAAAGAATGGAGGATCATTGCATCGGCCCTTATAGGAGAAAGGGAGGGTGAATCTAAGCCCGGGTTCAGCACACAGTTCCAGTATCCCAATATCAAGAGGTTATTCTGGTATAAACGGTCATTACTGCCCAGTCTTCGTCCTCTACAGCTAGCTTAACCCACGCCCATCTTCCATCTGTGTCTGTGCAGCTGTCAATAACCTCAATTTCCAATTTTTTGTCCAGGAGGATCGCCACTCCTCCCTTTGTTCCATCTGCAGGAGCGCATACTTGAGGACCGGGCCACCAATTTTGTATTTCTGTCATCTTTTCCGCGCCTATTTTGGTTTCCTGCAAACAGAGGATGTGGACATTATTTGAATGTATCCATCGCAAAAGTCTCCGTCTTTTGAACGTGTCATTATAATCACCAAGTCCTCGGATATTCCAGCTTACTAATCTGATCCTATTGGGCAGGACCATCATTAGTAGCTGGGTTACCCGGGGATTGGATGTGGGTATCAACAGTCTTTTCTGTCACAGCAGCAAGGGGTGGGACGGGGAAGGCTTGCTCCCCAATAACAAAGTTCCTAGTTTTGCCTATACGCCTTCTTTGAAGGGTATCGCCAAAGCTGGGATCTTTTATTGCAACAGTATTATCTGAGTGATCCAGCCATTCCGCCACCACCTTAGCAGAAAGATTCGTTAAGAGTCGGATGTTTCCCAACACTTCAGAGGCGGGGGTTGTAAGGTGTGCCAATTCCACCCAGTAAATATTGAGATCATCCCATTTTTGTTTATTGTCAGATATGTGCAAAAGATCCAGAAAAGCAAACAGCAAACGAGCTTTTCCTCCTTCTGGTCTGTCTATTAAATGGCGTGCCATTTTAGGCTCAGGCAGCAAGGCTACTTCCCAAAGATTTTGCAAGACATGTATTTTCACCAGATTGCATACCATTACCTGAGACGGTGCACCTTTCAAAGGCACAGACGGGAGGAGAAGGACTTCATCCCTGCCCTTCAATGTTAAGAACCTTGGATTATGACCATCGTGCGAACAGATAATGGGGATTAGATAATCTGTTATCTGTCCCTTTGTTTTCCCCTTATCTTCTCTTGTTAAGGTTCTCATTGGTGCCGCCATGGTCAGGGACCCTTTTGCCGTTTTTATCAGATGTGCTCCACCCTCTTTAAAGGTGAACTACTTGCAATAGCTTCCCCTTGCCCTCCAAAATCATCCTCCTCCCAACGGGTTTGAGGCCTTCCACCCTCGGACGTTTCGCTGAGGAGTGGACAGGCTCATTCCCATGCATCCGAGGATTCTGCCGGGGGGATGTGGGAGTTTTAAATACCGCGGTTGGAGGAGATTCTTCTAATCCTTCCTTCTTTTCGTTGTACAGACCATTCTCCCCCAAAACCTGTTCCGAACCCCGTTGCTGTTGACGCGCCACTACTATTTTTCTTGACGCGCGGAGAAGCTGCTGGGGTGCAGTAGACACTTGTCTCCGGCTGCTTGCACGGCCAGAAGGACAACGTCCTGTCCCTCTGCTTGGAGCTTTGCCGTCGTGCTTTGCACGGTGCGTGTCGGCTGCCCTCTTCTTTCTTGCTCCACGTTGTTCCTCTGCTTTGTGTACATGGCATTCTCTTCCCTCCCAGTTTGTGTGTGTGTGTGTGTGTGTGCGTGTGTGTGTGTGTGTGTGTGTGTGAGAGAGAGAGAGAGAGAGAGAGAGAGAGAGAGAGAGAGAGAGAGAG